AGAAAGAGCTATGCTCATTGATGAAGTTTGCAGCAGCAGTGATAAGTAAGATGCAGTGTTTTTTTCAATTTTCCTTAGAATGTCAATAAATATGTGCCCCTAAAATGCTGTTACTTTGATCTTTTTTTTTTAATTTTTTTAAGCAAATTCTGATGTAATCTTTACTTTGACACTTGATCAGTGTTTGCAAGGCTGCAACTTCTTTAAAACACAGATTTTCATGCCTGTATGTTTTGGTGGAGATTAACAAATTTGTACTTGATGTGCATTTTGTTTGGTTTAGAAAAGAGAATTTTTTTATACTTAATAACTTTGGAAATGTCTTAAAGGTTGTTTATTTCCGTATTTGCAGAAGGTGAAATGAATATTTGTGAATAATTGTCAAAGTAATTATCAACAACATTCATTGAGCCTGAGGCAAATAATTGTTTTAGTATAATTGCTCAGGTGCTGCTATAGATTTGTTTTGATGTTGAACCATTCTTTTGCAATAGCTTTGATTACTTTTATTGAGATAAGCAGCCAATTTCCATTTGAATTTAACAGGTTTATTTAATTCAGCAGGCAAAAGCTCAACATATATTTTTGAAAAGTGGTATGTCAAACTCAGCAGCATCTTTTGCACTCCTTGGAATTGAATTTCTATGGCAATTTTTAACTTCCTCTGTAACACTGACGAAATGTAAGGCAACCATTTTGAAATTTAGTGCTCTCACTATAATCATCATGTGCTAGATGATTATAGAAAGATGATGCAATCCCTGACCAATCGAACTGAGTGCATCTCTATTATCACTAGAGCAATAATAACTTTCTGTAGACTTGCTACTTTGGGAAAATACATTGATGTTTAATTCTTGACATGACTTTTTATGTTTAGTGCCTTGTACACTATGATGAAGGATCAGTTTGCAAACTATGTTATTCAGAAGATGATTGATGTGGCAGAACCACCTCAACGCAAGCTGCTGATGCACAGGATTCGGCCCCATGTGGCAACATTGCGCAAGTACACTTATGGAAAACACATTTTAGCCAAGTTAGAGAAGTACTACATGACAATGAAACCAACACCAGATTTCCTCCCTTTGACAAATGGTCCTTTGCTTTAGAAACATACTTGGTTGAAGGCACCCATTTTCTGTTTGTTTATTTGTTTGTTTTTTTTTTGCTTAAATTTTTTGGAGATGTTTTTAGATTTGACATCATGAATATAGATCTATTGATACTGATCAAAACCTTGATTTGGTGAAATATTTTCATTCTTATGAAGCTGTAAATTTCCTTGTAAAACTGTAAAGAAAATCCTTTCTTATAGGTGTTGATCTTATATTTTACTCAATTTAAAATCTTTTGTCTCCAAATCAGTTCTCATTATTGACGTTCTCGGTTCAATTATTGAATTTTATGCATTGAAAAGCTTCATCTGTGTGTCAACTGTATCAATGAATGCAGTTAATTTTTTTACCTGTAACTGTATAGGTAAAACGTAGTTGTTGCGTCTTTTTGATCAAGGGCAGATTGATGGTTGAATTTTATCATTTCAATGAACTTTTAGTTTTCTTAAATGGAATAGCTATCATTGATGACAGTTACATGTTAAATGTATACATTTGCTTAAGTAATAGTTAATAAAAATGCTAGGTCCGATAATTGTAGTATTTCCTTCCGCGTGGGAGGTAGATTCTTTTTGGTAGATAGATAGCACATGCATGTTATGTTAATAAACAAAGCTTATTAATTAGGAAAAATTACAGGCAGTCAAAGCCAGAGTCAGCAATCCTGTTATTTTAAGTGGGTTTCTAAGAGCTGTGAGTGTCCATCCCTGCAGTATAGACGTGTTACTATGAATCAAAGCCTGCAAAGATTATTTTAAATTTTATTAGGTAAATGTACAATTTACCATTTTTGGCATCTGTTTTGACATTTAGAAACGGTTAATCTTTTACAAGATAAATTGTTTCCCATACTAGTTAGCAAAGGAAGTACATGCCTGTCAATGATTTTTCTGTAGTTTTCAGGTTGTTTGCAAAAGATAAGAGTGAAAATTATGTAAAGTATTTATTTGACGGGAAACCCAAGCCCATGCATGTAATGTTAACAGGAAATTGCTTGTACTTTAGGTTAATGACTGTTTGTTGGTAGAGGTTTCAATACCTTCACTGAAATTTCATGAGGCGTATTCGTTTATTGTTTCTTAAGTTGGAATTCAAATAGTTTCAACTAGAAGGTTGTTCCTTCATACTTAAGAACTTTTTGACAGTTGTACATGTTTCACTTACTGAAGCAAAAATGCTGTGACCATATTTGGGAAAGGGAAGGTGTAGCCGTCTTAGAGCGTTTTCACTCGCGTGGTGAGCAGCCTTGTAAATTAATTGGAAAAGAAGAAAGTGTTTACATAAAATGAGAGTTCAGATTATACAAGACTGACTTAGTGTACCAATAACAGTCACGTGGGGTCGGCCGGAAGCGATCTGTAGGTCAGGGCTATGCTCTTCCCTTGCTTTTAGAAAATAATTTTTTCGAATTCTCCCTACTATTGTATTGTCTAAGGTGAATAGGCGAGGTTATTAGCCACGTGTTGTAACATTCAAGTTTCTATGTTTTGTAAGTATGTATGTGGATTTAATTCAGGTGGCAAACTTCTATATATTTGATTCAAAGAATTGTAACAAAATGTAAACTGTAACATTGCAATGTTTTTAAGGCCCTTGTAAGGAAATTCCTGTACATTCTGTACATTTGTAAATGGCCACTGGCGAGAGCTGCATTGAATTGTAACCAGCACACTGTATAGATAACGTAAACATACTTGTAGCGGCTATCGCAAGTGCAAGTGTTCGAGTGTTTTCATAAACGTTTCGGGGTCCATGGTTTGGATGTTCAAAGGTTGATTATCAGATACTTGTACTTGGGATGTATGTCGCTGGACAGAGCAGTTTTGCTTCGGTAAATATTTCGTACCACTGTTTATATGTATTCAGAGATATTAAACACTATCAAAACAACAAAGACAAATATATTGTAAGGATAATTTATCATTTTGATCAAGAGCGCTTAAAACTTTTTGCCGTTTTAGGTTTTAGGGTAATTTTAATCAGACTCGGTTTTCCTTTTTTTTTTTTTGGAGTCTCACGGTGTAATGAAGCAGAAAGGGTTAGTGTTTTTGTATGTTTCTGTGTAAAACTGAACAAGTCCCGCCTTGTACAATGTGTGCGGTTGTGTAGAAGTATGTAAATGATGTAAAGAAAGTAGCCTTTTCAATTCCTGTATTAAAATTTAAAGGTGGTTGCACAAATAAATGATATTGTTTATCAGTTTTGTTTTGACTTCTTTGTTGAAAAGAAATCTCTGTTAGGTCATTTTTAAAAAAGTTGCCTCCTTCACAATCAATCTATCAGATGTCTCCTTATGTAATTTACTTCCTAAATACCCACGTTCTTTGAGTTCTACTTCCTTTTTCTCGCAGCTTTGGCGGGAACCGATTTAACTTTTTGATATTGCAGAATGCCTATAGGCTGATAAAAAACTGAAATTCGTTTACTTTTTTCTTCAAAGGCGTGGCGCAAATATCACGTCTATCAGGCGTAATTTTGGTGAGCGAGTGCTAAGTATTTTCTTAACGAAAATTATAACCGCCACCTTTGTTACAGAAGAGGGCTTCTCATATGAATATAGTAAACCCAGAAATGGATAACTACAACATAGTAAGCGGTCATGTTACAAGCGATACTTTGTGGGAGTAAGGCGAGGTATTGTTACTGAGAATTTGACTGTATGTTTTAATTCCTAGAAGCGATCGTTAATATTCCCATACAAACTCGTATAATTTCGCCATGACTCACATTTCGCAGGACTGTCATTTCACAGCTGGAGCTTGGGCTGCCTGTGGTCTTAATTTTCAACCTCAGCTAAAAGAGCAACCACGAGGCAAAATTAAGAGTATTGACTTACTATGCTTTATGCACATGCTTTGCGCAAACCAGATTCAGCAAAACAAGCGTTTACGAAACAAACGCCCTAGTGATGATTTCGTGTTGGGTCTTCAGCGGACTGTGTGTTCGTAGTAACTGAAGGAGCGGTACACAAAACACGTCCTTTAAAACTTCTAAATGATGGTAAAAATTACCTGCTGACCTAAACACGACGAACTTCTCACTATAGCAACGAGGTATCATGCGGGGCATTCATCATTGCACTGATTAGATAAACCCACCGCGATAAATTTTTAGTGTTCTTAGTGTGCGTCAGTGTTGATTTCATTGTAATATTTAGCGGCACCCTAAGTCCATGTCACGATTAGCTACTTAAATAATTAAAAAATATTCGAAGAAAAATGGTCCAACATCTCTGCTGTAACATTTGATTATGTAGTCTGATCGTCCGGACGAGGGTAGTCCTGAGAAGAACTGTTGTCGTCAGTGGCGACCCAGACTGAGGACCTACTTTTCTCCTTCTATTCGCGAAAGTATTCACTGGTATCGTGGATCGCTGAATTGAGTGAGATCTATAGCTTCTGCGTCATGTAAGCCTGAACAGAAACAATGCGTAGACCAGTTGTCCAAAGTTAACATAACTGAGGTTCACTGTAGTTTCATTTAAGCATGGCGACGTCATCGTTTCTGCTATGAGGTTGACCATATGTACCTTTGGAGAGGTTAACACTGCAAGAAAATATTTATGAATAGCTTCGAACAGTCGAATTCTGAGCTACAGTGACTTTAACAAGCTCCTCAATTTTAAAGATTCGGCCAACAACCAGTCCCTTTCACAATGAAAACTGGTTTTATTTAACCTGTTCTAAGTATTTATATAAGTTTCAAACAGTGAAAATTGATCTCCCTCAGATAAAGTTTAAAATTTATGTTTGCTCCATTTCTTGCAAATAATGTGATCCCACGACTAAGTGTGTACGCACTGTGGACCTACTTTTCTCCTCCGCTGAGTGAGTTCTAAAGCTTCTGCGTCATGTAAGCCTAAACAGAAACAATACTTCGAACAGTGGTACAACATGGCGGGTCAGTACCCTGGCTATGGTGGCTACAACCCAGCAGCTGGCTCAAATCCGTACGGAAATCAGCCTCATCCTCAAGGTAAGAACAAGGATTTTCCTATAACGCAGAATTTACTATTATTCAAATGAAAAAACTATTGTACAAAATACGACTATTTTACTGTTTTAAAAAACTGTGAAGTGTTATATTGTTCATGTAGAAAGGTGTGTGAAGTTATCAAAGGCATTGTCCGTGATTATCGTTAAGATTATTTGGTTTCACCTGAATCACGTTTGCCAGTGTTTATTCAATGAAGACCTCTTGAAAAAAAAAGCCATCTTTCTAATTTTTCAGTTAGGTAGCAACACTCTCGGGACTTTCTCAGTTCTAGAAATCCAGTGGGTCTCACGCTAACTTTGTCTTTAAATTCACGACATTTTATACCATCCACATACTATTTTTTCACAAGTATGCAATAATTTTTTATCTCGCAAAATGTTTTGGACAGAATTTATTTGATCAAGGAGACATGTTCTAGAAAAGAGCCTTCCTATGTCACAGCTTAGAACTTAATGCCAGTTTTCAAAAGGAATGAAGCTAATTTGGGAAAATTCAAAGTGTTTGAATAAACTAGAAACCTCTTTTCCAAGCAGCAAAGTAAAGAAACTTTTTTAACTTGCATATATATATATATATATATTGTTTTTCAAAAATCCTTCCAAGGTAATTTTTATGGGATGCAAAATAATCTACATCTATCAAAACCAATTTTAGGTAACAGGCATAGTACGTTTGATTTTATGTTTTCCTTTTCAGGTTATGGACAGCCGCCTGGTTACCCACCCAGCATGGGCTATCCACCTCCTGGTGGGGGGTACCCTGGGGGGTATGGAGGATCTTCTGCTCCACCCCCAGGAGCTGACCCTACCTTGTGGAACTGGTTTGTTACTGTTGATAGAGACAGGTCAGGTCAAATAACAGCAGATGAATTACAACAGGCACTGCTTAATGGAAACTGGTCCCACTTCAACAGTGAGACATGCAGGCTTATGATTGGTAAAGTGCCCTTTTTCTTTTACATTTACTTGTCATATTAATTTTGTCCTTCAGAACCCAAGTTTGTCTCACATATATACATTTTTTTATTATTGCTTTTGAAGCCAAAGATCTCTCAAAGATCACCAGGTTTACCACACTTGCTGCTAATATTAAATTTGTGCATTCAGGCATCTCTTATTTGCTATGAAATGAAAAAAAATCAAAGGTATATATTGATTTTCTTGTCTTCATATGTACATGTAAAAAGGCATTTTGGCCATGATTGGTTACTGATTATTGTCGTGACCGGAAGCGAGTTGTGTTACCTTTTTATGTTACGTGCATGAACTGTTTGCGAAACACGTGATTGTAACAATAGGCTATTCATCTTAAGGAAAAAATATAGAATTACAGACAGATGAGATCGATTTTGGAGAGAGAATACCACGATGTGTACCCACAAAGTGAGAGCTGTGAATCGTGAGAAATATTAAATCTGGTGAAAATCTTCATACGTGAGAGTTTCCTTTGTCGGCGAGTACCATTTCCCAACATTATGAACATCAATGGATCAATCTCTTGTTATTATCCAACTACACTTACTAGAGTACAAATGATGTGCCAATCAAGTACAAATATCACATAATATTTGGACAGTTGGTTATTTTATACTGTTAAAAAGCTAGTTCAACTAGTTTGCAACAGCTCTGCTTTTCCTGTGGTTTTAAAAAATGCATATAAAATAAAGTAGTTGGGTAATAAATACCAACAACTTATTAGATGTTTTGATGTACCTGGTACTGCTGAGTGTTTTAACTTGTAGTTTGTATTTTGACCTGCCCTGCATCAATCCATGATAACTGAATAGGTTTCCTTATCCTATTCAATGGATTTGGCCTAAAAATTAGTCACTTTAATGTCAATGATTTGAGCAGATGAGTGGACCCCAAACCTACAGCAGAAATTGGCTGATTACTAGATAATGTTAGCCTGGATTCTTGACTCTGCCTGTCTACTCATTCAGATTTGGGATCCTAAGTCATCTGTATCAGATCAGGTTATCCAACTCTATGGAATTGGTTTTTGAAAGTGATGGTCCTGCACAATGAACTATTTGGCCACTAGGATATTTCTGGCAATGTGTAACCTTGTTAATTAAAAAACAATTTTTTTCCCTTTTCCACACCTTTGTAAAACAACACTATAAATAGTATGTGTAAATGTCTTTTTCATAATATTTTAAGAGACCTTATGCTGAATAACAAATGTATGGCTGTGTTTTTGTTGTTGGAGTATAGAAACTTGATGCCTGTGGGGAGGTGGTTGCATGGAGATGTTGAACAATCGATTACAAGTTGTTTAGTTTATGGCATGTGTTTTTATCAGGTATCTTTGACCGAGATCAGTCTGGTACTATCAGTTTCCAAGAGTTTCAACAACTTTGGCAGTATATTCAGCAATGGAAGGGTGCGTTTGACAGATATGATTCAGACAGATCAGGAGCTATAGAGTCTCAAGAATTACATCGAGCTTTTGCTGAGATGGGTTTTAATGTTTCACCGAATTTTGTCAACATTGTCGTTACCAGGTACCTGCAGCTTCTTGTATATGAGTATAGAGTGGTTCGTAAATTGGTTTTTTGTTCGTAAACATCATCCTGCAATGTAAAATTTTCTTCTGAGCCATTTGCTCATGAAAGAGGATTCATGATATTTAAACTCCTTCAAATTTTAAATTAAAACATGTGCATTAAGTTGGCTCAAATTTCCCACCCCATGAATGACAGCCAAATGCCTGTGGGTTGCCAGGCAGGGTGGGGTGGGAGGTGTTGAAGCTTCTAATTGATCAGCACACAACCTATTGTAGTCACAGAATAATGTGATAGTGTAGTTTAATCGTCTGGTTGAGTGTAGTCCTGAATAAGCTTCTCTTTTTTTTTTTCTTATGCACTTTCTTATGCACTTCGACAGGTGTAGGATTGTGTCAGATAATTAAAAAAAAAAAAGTTTCAAAGTTTGCTAGGAAGCCTTCTAAATCACCCTTATCTGTTTACAGATAAAAATTTTGTTGGGAAGCCTCTCTTTTTAGTTTGCATTACCTTTGTTTTCTCTACCATCTACTCCCTCAACATTGGTCCAATTATGGAGGCCTTTGCTGTAATTACAGTCCTAAATCATTAGGGTTTTTTTGGAAAACACTTTGTGAAGTTTTAGAAAAAAATTAAAATGATATTCTCCAGCCTAGGTTGGTCCGTATTGGGAAAAACTGTGCCCTCTGTCTTGAGTACTGCCCTTTGTCTACAGCCTTAAGCAATACTCAAGACCTCAGGCATAGTTTTTCCCAATATGGACCTCCCAGTTGGTGAATGACAAACATATATTTTAATATTAAAAGAATGTTTTTGACCTATTTGTTTACCAGTTATTTGTTTACCAGTTATTTGTTTACCAGTTACTGGGCACATTGACACAAATTGGCCACATTGCTTCTAAAAGTTGATTTACCCTTACTTTGTTTATTATGAATATTTTGTACAGTTTATTTACTCTGTTCATCAGGTTTGATCAACATGCTCGTAGAAGTTTAAAGCTGGACAGTTTTATCCAGTGCTGTGTGATGCTGCGAGGACTAACAGATGCTTTCCGAGTCAGAGACACAACCATGAATGGCAGCATCACCATTAATTATGAAGACTTCATGTGCATGGTGTTGTTGAACAAGCCTTAAATTTGTGTTTAAACTGGATAAAGAAAACAGTATTGAATTCCCCTTTCACATCACACTTATTGTTAAATTGTAGACTCAACTGAGTACTTTTCATCTTTGAAAAATACAAACTACTGTAGGTGTTGCATATCTAATTTGGACAGCTTTAAACAAAGCTTTTTAGAATTGTTGGTGGGCCAAAAAGGCTGACATCTATTGGCTACATTATCTCTTTAAAAACACCCTTCCTACTTTTGTTTGAGTGCAGTTAACCATTTATCCTGCAGAGTTTGGTTAGCAAATTCATCTGGATTAGTCCTGAATTGTTCAAATTTTTATAAACATCACAAAAATGAAAGTGTGGAAAGAAAATCTTTTTTTCAAATTGAAAATTTGTTCCAATCACATTAGTATGGACAAGGGCAAAATGAAATTGCTACTAAGGCCTTATAAACCTCATAATTGTACATACATGAGATGTAGCTATATAGGTGTAAAATCTATGTTATGCTGTTCATTTATTTAGTCCATAGAACTTTACCTGTAAAAGTTTACAAGTAGCTACTCAAGAAACCTCTTCACAGTGGATGTTTAAGAGATAAGCAGACAAATACTTCCTTTTAAAATTGGACATCCACTCACAGTGTGGTTAGGTGATTGCAAGTGCAGTTTTGAGTGTTTCAGTATTTATGACTCTTTGTTGTCTGAAATGAAATAAAACTCTCTGATTACTTACTCATGTCGTAATCCATTTTTTATTATTAAGTATTTAATTGGGATGGCACTTGCTTAGGATGACTGAAACAAACTTAAAAAAAAAAAAAATGGAAAGATATTTTCCTGGGGAAAAACTGTCAAATGAGGAGACAAGCTGCACCCCTGATTTGATACAAACATATTAGGAGAAAAAGTTGTTAATTCTCTGCTTTATGGTAATTAATGATGCTCAAGTTCTTCTCTCCACCCTTAATTTGTGACTGGGAGCATTTTTTTTTTCACTCAGCCAATGTGGTTTGCATTTTTAATGGAATTTGATCTTTTGGAGGAATTATGATTCATCTTATTCATCTGATTCATCGCATTTAATGCTCAAACTCTGCAGAATTAATTGTTTGGTTATATGAGAAATATCGTAATTAAGGAGTGTTAACAATATTTATCTTGCCACAAATTCTTACAATATGCTTCTTTTGATTTTTTTTGTCTACCTTACTAAAAATGAAAGAAATAAATTATGATCGTGCATGTTTACTTGTAGATATATCCTTTACATTACTTTACTGTGACTTGGAAAGAAAGTTGCAAGAAGGAAATTATTTGGTTTTCAAACAGAATCACTCAGAGTTGTTTCAGTCATTGATGGCCATAAAATTCCTTGTTGTTTCCATTATTATTTTGAAGAATTTTGACTGTATTCACCACACAGCACCTGTATCACTTGGAAATAAAATTTTGTCTAGAGAGTTAAGAGGGCCTGAATTAAATGATTAGATTGGGTTTCAGTAGTTCAAAAAGAGGTCAGTGGTTGTGATGTGCTTCTCTTTCTACCGAAAAGTTTAAATCCATGGTTTTTCTGTCTTCAGTGATGACCTGAATCTTGTATTAGTGTGTAGTAAAAATGTCTGGCCTGAATGCTGATCCATGTCACAGACTTTGCTCAGCCACAACTCGATGTCAATTTTATGCCATCTCTCAACTACAGAACAAATTCCTTTGATTAAACCAAAGCACAACTTGTATCTGACAGCAAGATCCACTGGAAAAAAAATACTGTGTGGGAAAGTAACACATTTTATTTTCCCATACTGAAATTGTACCATACAAAAATAAATAATAAGATATTACATTGATTTCATGAATTTCTTTACATCTGGCAGAGTTTTGGCAATACTGACAAACCTTCAATAGTATTATTACACCAATTGTAAGCCTGAATGAATACTCCATCATTAAAATACAGAGACTACATAAATCTGTTTAAGAAGTTTGTTACCTGATGTTTAAAAAAACAAAGGTCATCACAGGCTCACAACATTGCAAAGAAAACTTTTTTGTTGGAGTGACTATAAAAGTGATCTTAGTTATGAAGTATCTTTTCTCAGATTTGTAGAATTGTTGTTTTAGGTAACTCGTTAGAAAAAGCTATTTATTGTATACCTACATCTTTGTATGGAGAATCGTCAGAAAAAAGTTTGACTTCATGGGTACAAATAAATAAAGAAAACTTTTATTCAGTCTGTTAAATATTGCATCAAACATGCTTGAACCAGTATTCTGAAGCCAAAATGTGAGTACATCACTACTTAAGAGAAAAACCTGTCTCTTTCTGTGATATATACAAGCTACACAATTCAGCTGTAAAACATTTGGACAGTCTTTAATTAACGGGTGTTTATTGAACTTATATATGTTTCTGTCCATCTCTTGAGATTGGCCTGCAGAAAAAAAAACAAACAAAAATTAAATTAATCTTAGACTCAAAACTAGACAACCAAAAAAATTGTGAGAATGTCAAGAAACCTAACAACATTTTTGGGGCAGAGATTAAGTATCTGTTGTCCATATCAGAGAGGATCCATGGTGGAGAGTTTTTTTTTCCAAGTAGAATACATCTCTTGGAATTTTAACAGGAAGTAAACTGTCTGTACTGGAGAGACAACAAACCTAGAGAGATGTCCTTAAATAGAGGTTCAATTGACTGTACTTATATTAGAAAAATTGTGAAATAAAATTGATCAAACTGTGAAGAACTTTTCTTTTCAGTGGGGCAAACAGTCAAGCTTTCATTTACAATTTTAAAGTGAAAGTAGAGTTTCCTCACATATTTAAAAACTCTATGACAAAGGTAAACCTAAATCATTAAACACACCTTGCACCAAATCAGCGAGTCTTCCAGTTTTTTGTAAATATACTTCATTTCCACATCACTGAATAATTGTGAGCTGATCTCTGAGGCTACAGGCTACAAAGAAATAGTTATGTTGTTAATGATTGACATG